TTTCAAGTAATCAGATATTTAAGATGGATAGCACACAATGGTATTTGTTGTTGTTAAGTGCCATTGAATCAGTTCCAACTCACAGCAAACCTGTATAGGGTTTACAAGGAATGACTGGTGGCTTTGAACTGCCAACCTTGTAGTTGGTGATCCAGTGCTTATCCTACAGCACCACATTCCCACTGACTAGTTTTATTGTCTCAGGAGTGAATTTCATGGGGGTAAACCTTTTGTGATTTACATTAATCCAATGTCCTCGACTGTCATGTTTCTCAATTTACTGTCAAGCCACAGAAATAAAATGTTAGGCTACTCAAAGGGAAGCAGTGTGGGGACTTATTAGACAAAATTTATATCAAGACTTCCTGAGAAAGTAAAGCGGGTGGATTCTGTATCACCCACATGTGCACACACACACACACACTCCACCTCGTGTGAAAGAAGATTAGGGGATGAGTTCTTTGGGAATGCAGTCACATCACCAAAATATCCTTTTGTGTGGATTTTATGATTCCAATGTCTGAATTCTTCTTTCTGTGTCATCCGGGGTGGCGTTGGACCTGGAGTAAGTAAAAGCATGATGCCATAGCAAGAAAGGCAGGAGAAAGCAGGAGGGAGGGATGGGGAGATGGGCAAAAAGAAGTAAAGAAAGAAGGAGGAAAGAGGATGGAAGAAAAGAGGTAAAGAAGCGAAGAGAGAGGATGAGGAAGGCAGAGGGAGAGGAAGAATACTTCATTATGGGTCAGGTGATGTCCTACTTGCTTCAGCTCATAACAACATGACTAAAAGGATGACCAAAGTGACACCCATGACACCAAAAATGGAAGGAATAAACAGATAGAGAAGATCAGGAAAGGAGTTTTCCTTAAGAGAAGAAACCAGAAGCAAGAGAGCCTTTGTTTTTTTCTCAGGTGTCTCAATGAGGAATAACTGGTTTAACATTGTCTCTGGTAGCGTAGTGGTTACGAATCGGGCTGCGAACCTTAAGGTCAGCAGTTCGAAACTACCAGCCGCTCCGCGGGAGAAAGATGAGGCTTTCTACTCCCGTAAAGATTTACACCCTCGGAAACCCTGTACAGGGTCGCTATGGGTCGGAACCGACTCGATGGCACTAACAACTTAACAACAACAACAACTTCCAATGTAGGAGCCCTGGTCTAACAGCACTTCTCCTGATCCTAGACAACAATTTATAACTTCATTACTAGCTACGAATCCTGAACACTACCCAGGATTTGGGTCACTTCTGTGTTCACAGATCTCTCTACATCCATTGAAAAAATATATATATATACAAATTGTATATTACTGTTTTGTTGGTATTTTAGTTATCTAGTGCTGCTATATCAGAAATACGACAAGTGGATGGCGTTAACAAACATAAATGTATTCTCTTCCTGTTTGTTGTTGTTGTTAAGAACCTTTGAGTCAGTTCCAACCCCTAGCGACCCTATATAGGGTTTCTGAAGAACAGCTGGTGAGCTTGAACCGCTGAGCTTGCAACCACTGAGCTTGCAGTTCAAACGGCCTTGCAGTCTGACGCATTAACCCACGGCGCCACACGAGGAGGTTATAAATCTTGAGTTCAGGGCAACAGTTTATAGGGAAAGGCTTTCTTTCTTTGTTGACTTACAGTCTAGGAAAGAGTCCCTTGAGTCCTTTCAGCATCTGTAGGCCCAGGGTTCCTTGGAAATCTCTATGTATCTTGGTATCAATCTTGGAGTCCTGGGGTGGTGCTGTGGGTTAAAGTCAGTTTGAATCTCAAGGTCAGTGGTTCAAGCTCACCAGCCACTCCTCAGGAACCCTATAGAGGATCACCGTGGGTTGGAACCGACTGAACAGCAAACAACAACCACAGGAGGTTCTTGGAGTCCTGGTGTGGCACTGTGGGTTAATGTGTTGGACTGCAAAGTCAGTTTGAACCGCAAGGTTGGCAGTTCAAGCTTACCAACCACTCCTTAGCACAGGGACCTTGGGTCCAAAGAACAGACTATCCCCAGCTCTTCCTTCTTGGCGGTAGTAGATCTCCCTCTCTGTACTTCATCCTCTCTGTTTTCATCTCTTGTACGTTCACATCCCAAGGAAAATCCCCTTACATCAGATCAGGGCTGATTACATCACATCACATCCTGGGGATGATTACATCATTATACGGCTGCCTGATTACATCACTGCATAATGGCCAAACCACTGAGAATCATGGTCCAGCCAAATGGACACATATTTTGGGGGAATACAATTCAATCTGTGACAGTATAACAAAGAAATATTTTAATATTGAATATTGAAACCTCTTCTTTATTATTATTATTTAAAAAGTAATGAAGACATTTTTGTTGACTCTTAAAAATATTGTGGACCCTAAACATTGTGTCTACATTGCATATTCAATGTGCTGAGGCTGACTCCACCCTGTGTCAAATGACAGACTTATATGTCACCATGGCGTTACTGAGTTGTGACTTCTGGGATAAAGGATTAATGTTTGTGATCAGGACATGAGCTTCGTATTGTTAACTGCCATAGACCATCGTTCCAACAGAACAAGGGGACACTCAATGGTTTAAAATGAGGAAAGGTGTGTGTCAAGGTTGTATGATTTCACCATACTTACTCAATCTGTATACTGAGTAAATCATCCAAGGAAGATGGATTATATGAAAAAGAAAGCGGCATCAGGATTGGAGGAAGACTCATTAACAACCTGTGATATGCAGGTGCTACAACCTTGCTTGCTGAAAGTAAAGAGGACTTAAAATATTTACTGATGAAGAGCAAAGACCACAGCCTTTGGTATAGGTTGTACTTCAATGTAAAGAAAACAAAATTTCTCACAACAGAACTAATAAATAAAATCATGGTAAAAGGAGAAAAGACTGAAGTTGTCAAAAACTTCATTTTGCTTGGATCTACTATCAACACTCATGGAAGCAGCAGTCAGAAAATCAAATGGCATATTTCATTGGGCAAATCTGCTACACAAGACCTTTTTAAAGTGTTGAAGAGTAAAGATGTCAGTTTAAGGATTAAGATGCGCATGAAAATACAGTCACAAGTCCAAGTCATTGTATTTTCAATAGCCTCATATGCATATGAACGTTGGACAACAAAGAAGGAAGACCATAGAAGAATTGGTGCATTTGAGTTATAGTATTAGAGAAGAATATTAAAAGTACTATGAAGGGCCTAGCCCTCCGCCTCCACCCGCGCCTTGATCGAGTCCCCGTGTCCTCCCCTGCGCCCCGGATTACCGGCCGCCAGCGCCAGCGTCAGCGCCAGCCAGAAGTGAGGAAGCTTACTAGAGTAAAATGGAGGCCTCGGTAATATTACCCATTCTGAAGAAGAAACTCGCCTTTCTTTCAGGAGGAAAGGACAGACGAAGTGGCCTCATTCTAACAATTCCATTATGCCTGGAACAGACAAATATGGATGAGCTGAATGTCACCTTAGATTATCTACTCAGCATTCCAAGTGAAAAATGTAAGGCTAGAGGATTTACTGTGATAGTGGATGGCAGAAAATCACAGTGGAATATGGTGAAAACAGTAGTCTTAATGCTACAGAATGTTGTTCCAGCTGAGGTGTCCCTCGTTTGTGTAGTGAAGCCAGATGAATTCTGGGATAAAAAAGTAACACATTTTTGTTTTTGGAAAGAAAAGGATAGACTTGGCTTTGAGGTTATTTTAGTGTCTGCCAATAAACTGACAAGATACATAGAACCATGCCAGCTAACAAAAGATTTTGGTAGGAGTCTTACCTATGATCACATGGACTGGCTAAATAAGAGGCTGGTTTTTGAGAAATTTACAAAGGAGTCTACATCATTATTAGATGAACTTGCTTTGATTAACAATGGAAGTGATAAAGGAAATCAGCAAGAGAAAGAAAGGTCTGTGGATTTAAACTTTCTTCCATCAGTTGATCCTGAAACGGTTCTTCAAACAGGACATGAATTATTGTCCGAATTGCAGCAGCGTCGATTTAATGGCTCAGATGGAGGGGTCTCATGGTCTCCTATGGATGATGAACTGCTGGCACAGCCACAAGTTATGAAATTGTTAGATTCACTACGAGAGCAATATACTCGCTACCAGGAAGTTTGTAGGCAACGTAGTAAGCGCACACAGTTAGAAGAGATTCAACAGAAGGTAATGCAGGTTGTGAACTGGCTTGAAGGGCCTGGATCGGAACAACTAAGAGCCCAGTGGGGGATTGGAGACTCGATGAGGGCTTCGCAGGCCTTGCAGCAGAAGCATGAAGAGATCGAGAGCCAGCACAGTGAATGGCTTGCAGTATATGTGGAGCTCAATCAACAGATTGCTGCACTCTTGAATGCTGGGGATGAAGAAGATCTTGTGGAATTGAAACCACTGCAGCAACAA